CGCCACCACCACCGCTGCTGCCGCCATATCCACCACCACTACCACCACCACCTCCTCCACCATAACTATCCATACTATATCCACTATCCATTTGCATATTGCAACAGTCCATCGCGGGCATTTGTTGGTTCATTTTCATGCTTTAAATTAAACGTTAAACAAGGTTGTTTAAGTTTTGTGTTATTTATTTTTTTTGGCAAGCGCTATTAATTTTTAAGCATAATCTACTAATCTTGCTACTAATCAGTGTAACTAATTTACTAGTTTACTTATTACCATAGCCCAGTATAATAGATGTTTTAATTATCAAAAATATATCCTGACCAATTAACATTAAAAACATAAAAACAACACCAAGTGTAAAACACATAAACACTCTAATAATATAATCTAACATAGTACAAAATTAAAAGCTTTAATCTAAATCAAACCCAATAAAACAGACACTAATCATAATTAAATAAAACAAAAACAATACTTACGGAATAGGTATAGGTATGGGAATAATGATCTTTTTCTTAGGCTGTATAAGTAAAAAACACATTAAAACAATGTATTTAAACGGGCAATCGTGGTAGAAAAAGTACTAGATCAAATCCACCAGACCTTTAATATGGACAGAATGGGTAGAATCTCTTTTAGCTTTTTCATTAGCTTTTTCTTCTTGATCGCTTCGGTTGGGCTGATTTGTTGCCCAATGAGACACAGTTCAAGTATGAACATGGTCAAAAACAGTAGACAAGTTGTACGGCTTCTGTATAGCGTTGCCATAGCTCTCGGTATTGGTTACGTACGGTCGGGACGCGTGAAACACTAGTGACAAGTAGTAGTAATAATAACACTGCGAGTATTACTATTAAGATTATGGTTAATTTTGAACGGCACTGCTCGTCGTATACACTATGTAATAAATTATACTTGGTGATTATTTTGCACTTTTTATATCATGTTGATATATAACTGCTTATATAGTAAACATAAAAAATATACAACAATTATATACACTATTCACTGGTGAGGATCAGTTGGCTTATGCTTTCACTGACAGTCCGGGCCATCGTTTTTATAGCCAAACATCTTATGCACAGAAATATAGCCCTAAAAAACAAGTGGGAAGAGAAGGGAAAGGGAGGCAGAAATAAAAGGGATGAGTGGTTTGGTCGGTGTCTATAGGGATGTGCATAACATATATTAAAAAATAAATAACCAGGAGTTTGTTTTAAGAGATCCACTTTCATCGTCTTGTTATTACTCTCTCTCTCTCTCTCTCTCTCTCTCGCACTCTCGCATATATTTTATGTCATCAATTTAT